GTGAATTGTGTATTTATTATTTTCTTGCGTAAAAAAATTTTAGCACATATGTATGTATTCTGAAGTATATATATTTAGCTTAGTTTGTTTTTGAGCTTTGTAAAAATGATGTAATGTTTGTTGTCTTCTGGACCTGTCTTGCTTTTACCAATGTATTTTTCTAAGATTTATCTATTTTTTTTTAAAGCTGCAGTTCATTTACTTTCAGTGCTGTATAACATACCATTGTGTGACTGTACCACAATTTATTTTATCCATTATTCTGTCTGTGGACATTTGTGTTATGTTCAGTTTTTGCTACTACAAATATTTAGCTAAGACAGTCCTGTTACAGGCCTCCTTGTTCACAGCCTCAGAAGCATGTGCAGGAGTTTGTGTGGGGCAGTGATTACCAAACATTTTAGTCTCAGGATCCCAAAGAGCTTTTGTTTATGTGAGTTATACCCAAAGATATTCACTGTATTAGAAATTGAAACTGAGAAAAACATATTTATTAATTCATTTTAAAATAACGATAAGAAACTCATTGTATGTTAACATAAATCACACAGTTTAAATAAAAAATAACTATTTTTTGAGACAAAATAAATGGGGAACAGTGACATTGTTGACATTTTTGCAAATTTCTTTAATGTCTGACTTAACAGAAGACGGGTGAATTCTCATGTCTGTATCCATGTTTAATCTGTTGCAATATCATACATCATGTGTCCTCTGAAAAATACTGTACACCTGAGAGACAAGTGTGAAAAAGTCAAATAATACTTTTCAAATATATTATGAAAATAGTTTTGACCTCATGGATCCCCTGAAAAAATCTCAAGTCCCTGGACCACATTTTGAGAATTGCTGCTCTGCAGAATACTGGTCTAGGGGTGAAATTGCTGGGTTATAGGGTTGCAGAGAACATATGCAAATGTTTAGCTGTATAAGATAATGCCAAATCATTTTCCAAAATGGCTGTGGTAATGAATACTCCACCACCAGTGTCTGAGAATTTCCATTCCTACAGATCTTCTGTAACACTTGGTGTTATTAGACATTCTAGTTTTGATCCATCTAGTGAATGTGAAATGGCATTCCATTGTGACCTATCTGTGCCCCAGTTTCTTCCCGTTTTAATCCATTCTTCTCACCCTGCCAGATTAATCTTTCTATGAAGATATTTTGCTCATGTTATCCTTGGTCTTCAAAAACGTTTAAAGGCCTTTTTTCCCCCGCCTCAACAGAGTAGGAACAAGTTTATCATCCTTCCATTCAAGGTGCTTTACTCCAAAGGCTGAAATCACTTGGTGGTACTTCCTCTACAGCCTTACTGGTACCACATATTCTAGGCAAATGGAAATATCTACTTTCCCAAACAGGCCCTGACATTTCTCCACTCCATGTTTTTGCCCAGGATATCTTTCTACCTCGAATGCCCTCTCTATCCCACATCTGCCCATTGGAAACCAGTCATCTCTCATGACAGCTCAAATACTACCCCTTCCAAGAAGCCTGCTCACATCTTTCCCTCCCCAGACCCCTCACCACCCAAGGCTTGTCCCTGCTTTGTCCCTCTACTGCACACCACCCTGGGTTCTTGTTATGAATGTCCAGTAGCTCCTTGACATCAGAGACTATGCATTTTTATTCTTGAATTCCCCACAACCCCTAATATTGGGCCTGGAATAGAGTGGCTGCTAAAAGTCTAATAGTTGTCAATGTCTCTGTTTTACATATGAGGAAACTGAGGCTTGGCCAGATTAAGGGCTCAAGGTGCTTTCTCTAGAGATGGGGAATCAGGGCCCAGTGTAAAGATAGAGCAGTACTAGGTGTTCTTTGATAAAGGATTTTTATGGGTGATCTATTAAGTGAAGCACCAGAGAGAAAGGATGGTAAGGGATCAGAAGTCGGAGGGGACTGGGGCAGGCCGGATGGGCTTCTCAGGGGCAACAGAGCTTGGAATAAGCATGGGAAGATGGGATATGGATGAGTGGAATGGAGGCGCACCGTACCTGGTGCTGTAGGGAGGAGAGCCGTGGGGCTGAAATACAAGACTGAAGGATTTGGGTTGGATCCCAAGGCACAGTGTCTGTGCGAATCCTTAGAGCCAGGTCTCATTGACTGCCCTAGCCATCAAGGGGCTAGCCTGGCTGGAGCAGAGACACAGGGAGAGCAAGAAATGAAATGGGAGGGCTCAGGGCCTGGAGCATGTGCTGCAGCTCCCATGCCAGCTACAGAGGACTGGGCCCACCTGGGAGCCCTAGGGGAATCTGGGGGCCCCTCTATTATCCTTCAGAGGAGAGCTGTTCTGAGGGATCTTTTCTGGGCCACGGGTTTCTAGAGATTTCAGAGATGACCAAGGTCAGCCCAGGGCTGTGGCCTTTCTCCCCCCACTGCAGTCTGGGCTGCATCCCTGCTTTTATTCTTCTTCTTTTTTTTTTTGAAAGAAAGAAAGAGAAAGAGAAAGGGGGAGAGAGAACAGGAGTCTTGCTCTATTGCCCAGGCTGAAATGCAATCTAAAAATAGGTATTAAAAACCTCTTTTATGTCAATAGTTGTGCTTAACAGCGGGGAAGGAATAAGGGAAGAAAATAACAAACAGCCAACCAATATTTCATTTAAGTCTGTAAAATACTATGCAAATGCTGAAGAGTGATTTACTTCCAATTATGTGGTCACTTTCAAAACAGGTGTAATGCGATACTAAGCAAAATGTATGTTCTGTGGACCTGGGGTGAAGAATTCTATAAATATTCACTGAGTTTACTTGTTCCAGGTCTGAGTTCAAATCATAGATGTCCCTGTTAATTTTCTATCTCGTTGATCCATTGAATATTAACATTGTGGTGTCAAAGTCTCCCACTATTATTGTGCGGGAGTCCAAATCTCTTTATAAGTCGTTAAGAACTTGTCTTATATATCTAGGTGTTCCTATATTGGGTGCATATATATTTATGATCATTGACTCCTGTGGTTGCATTGATCTTTTTACCATTAGGTAATGTCCTTCTTTGTTTCTTTTAGTCTTTGTTACTATTAAAGTCTATTTTGTCAGAGACGAAAGTTACAACTCCTGTTTTTTTTTTTTTTTTCCTGCTCTCCATTTGATTGGTAAGTCTTCCACCAACCCTTTGTTTTGAGTCTTTGTGTGTCCTTGCTTATGAGATGGATCTGGATACAGCATACTGATGGGTTTTGACTTTTTATTCAATTTGCATGTCTGTGTCTTTGATTGGGGCATTTAATCCATTTAAATTTAGGATTAATATTGATATTTGTGAGTTTAATATTGTCATTTAATGCTAGCTGGCTATTTTGTCCATTAGTTGATATAGATTCTTCATTATGGAGATACTCTTTACCTTTTGGTAAGTTTTTGGGATGACTGATACTGGTTGTTCCTTTCTGTGTATAATGCTTCTTTCAGAAGCTCTTGTAAAGCAGGCCTGGTGGTGGTGAAATCTCTGAGTGCTTGCTTGTTCGTGAAAAATTTTATTTTTCCTTCATTTATAAAGCTTATTTGGCTGGATATGAGATTCTGGGTTGAAAATTCTTTTCTTTGAGGATATTGAATATTGACCCCACTCTCTTCTAGTTTGTAGGGTTTCATCTGAGAGATCTGTTGTGAGTCTGATAGGCTTCCCTTTATGGGTAACCTGACCTTTTTCTCTAGCTGCCCTTAGAATTTTCTCCTTTATTTCAACCCTGGTGAATCTAATGATTATGTGTCATGGAGTTGCTCTACTTGAGGAAAATCTTTTTGGTGTTCTTTGTATTACCTGAAGTTGAGTATTGTCCAGCCTTACTAGGTTAGGAAAGTTTTCCTGAATAATATACTGAAGAATATTTTCCAGCTTGGATTCATTCTCTTCATGACATTCAGGTACTCCTATCAATCATAAATTAGGTCTTTTCACATAGTCCCATATTTCTTAGAGACTTTGCTCATTTCTTTTAACTCTTTCTTCTCTAATCTTGTCATTTCATTAAGTTGGTTTTCAACCTCTGATATCCTTTCTTCTGCTTGATCAATTTGACTGTTAAAACCTGTGCATACTTCACGGAGTTCTCGTATTGTATTCTTCAGTTCCATTAATTCACTTATATTCCTCTCTAGATTGTCTATTCTCATTAGGATTTCGTCAAACCTTTTTTCAAGGTTCTTAGTTTCTTTACATTGGGCTAGAATGTGTTCTTTTAACTCACAGAAGTTTCTTATCCACTTTCTGAAGCCTAATTCTGTTATTGGAATGCACTCGTTCTCCATCAGGCCTTGTTCCCTTGTTGGTGAGGAACTGTGATTTCCTGTAGAGGGAGAGGCATTCTGATTTTGGGTATTCTCAGCCTTTGTACGCTTGTTTCTTCCCATCATTGTAAATTTATCCACCTGTCGTCTTTGTAATTACCAACTTTCAAATTAGGTCTCTGAATGGACGTCCAACTTGTTAATTCCCAGCGATGGAATCTGAGCAACCCACTGCACCGGCCAAAACAGCAGTGTTAAGACTCGTGGTGCTTTCCTGCCTGGGAATCTCCAGTCTGGCTTCCTTCCTGAGTCCCTCCTTCAATTAGCTGAATAGGTGACCCTGCCTTCCCGGAGCTCCAAACGTCGACCAAAAGGGGAGCCAGTTTACTCTGCACCAAGAACAGCCACGCTGGCCAAAGAGTCACGCTGGCGACCCGTGGGGCTCCTCCGCTGGGAATCTCCTGGTCCAAGAGCAACAAAAATTCGTCTGAAAGTGTGGCGTCCTCTTGTTCTCTGCACTTTCACTGGGAGCTACAATCCCGAGCTGCTAGTAATCAGCCATCTTGGATCTCTCTAATCTCCCTGCTCTTCTTAAGACACTGGTCAGCCTCTCTCCTTCACCCTTGATCTCCTTCTCTGTTTATCCAGGTGCAGAGGTGCTGTGTTGCCAAGGTTTGGGACTTCCATTTGATCATGGGCTGAACTAATTAATTGGGGGCCTGCTTAGGTTCCGACCAGAAGGGTTCACCTTATCCAGGTAAGGAGCCTTCCCCATAGGTCAGCTCAATTTTCAGCACTGAGTTTGGGGCCAAAGCCTCTGTTAAAAATCAGTGTCACTTAACTTCCTATTTTCTAATTATTGTCCTGGTTACTTTCTTCACTCAGAGACTTGAAGAAGGTGAAGGCAGGGCAGGTTTGGGCATAATAACCTTCAGTGACACCTGGGTTCACCCTGGTTTCTAATAGTGTTCCCTGATCCATCAGGATAAACATGCTCAGTGCTTATTCGAGTGGGCCCCAAATCTTGCTGAGGCCTTGGTCCCACTCTACTGAGAAATTTTTATCATCATGATCATCATCATCATCACCACTACCATCATCATCGTCTTCAAATAGTTTCCATTTACTTTGTGGACCAGGTACTATCTTAGGTACTTTATGCACAATAGGTCATGGGGTCCTTGAATAACTGTGCAAAGCAGGTGTTAGCATCCCTGGAGAAGGACAGGTGAGGAAATCGAGGCTAAGAGAGGGGCGGTCAAAGTCACACAGATGCTGACTGTGTGAATAGAAGGTAATGCCCAGTGCTTCCAGCTCTTGGTGCAGGACTGTCAGTGGTGCCACCAGAGCAGAAGTGTCACCATCCCATGGCTAATGTGGTCTTGGGCTTTTAGAGAGAAATTGAGGCAAAGGGTAGGTCTAGTTCACAGGATCTAAGTTTGTAGAAGTAGCAGGCCTATTCAAAACCTTGGTCACCATGAGAACCACCTGCCCTCCCCTCAGGGTACTATTTCCTGCCTTGAGGGAGCCTCTAGGGTCTGCTAAATTAATTGTGTATGAAAGCAGGAAGGAGCTGGTGGTGTCTGTGGGACCTGTGTGATCCAGGGCTTACCACCTAGGCTCCTTAGTGGAAGGAGAGGTGGGATTTGAACTCAGTTCTCTATGAGCTGCTATGAGTTTTGTAATGGTAGTGGTGGCAGTGTGAGATGGTGTGTGTTGATTTCACATGAATAAGGGCTCTGGGCAATGCTGGTATGCAATGAGTCAGGCTTTTTGCAGAAGACAGATCAGGGTAGGTTAAACCAGCTGGAGATGTTACATTTGCCAAAAGACATGACAGAGAAGAGAAATAAAGGGTGGGTTTCAGGAGGGATGGTGGGTGGTGGCAGAAGTAGCACCTAGCAAACAGCTGTTGGGCACCTGCTCCATGCCAGACTCTGGGATGGTCTCTGTGCTGGTTTCCAAGGCCCCAGTTATGGAGCTGACCTAGGTTTACCCTTGGGGAGCTCAATCAGGGGGAGATGGACATCTTGAAGAACACCAGTTGTGTGCTGTGCTCTCTTAGGATGTGGAGTTTGCATTCCTAAGAAATCTTGTGTTATAAAAAATGGAATTACAGAGACAATTGCTTCAATGGAGAAAATGAGGTTGGGGTTTGAGAGTGTCAGAATTGCCATAAAAAAGTTATTTTTCCTTCAGGAATGACAATAATAAAGATGCTTTTACAGCGTAAGTGTATGGCTATGAAAGATGAACATCACAGAGCAAATCCAGCTTTAGACTTCCTCATGAATTTGCTCAAGAGGAACAGCCTTTTTATCACTAGCTCAGACCTCCAATCACCTTGACCATCCTCTGCTAGAGTCACAAAGCATCGAGTCCCTCTAAGGAGGCATCCTAAAGACATCAGGACATGCCTTCGTCAGTGCCTACCATCTCCTCCTCTAGTTCCCCTGTAGCAGATTCCTCTCCTTCATTGTATTATAACTAACTGTGATCTGCTCAGTATAATTGTGCTCTTTAATTAAAGGATCACATTATATTTAATTTGCATTGAAAAATCCCACCATAGGAGAAATTCCTGGAGGTGTGAGAACATTAATGGCAGTATGTAGAGGTAGTGTTGTGTCACAGTTAAGGGTGGGGCCTCTGGAGCCAGCCTTCCTGAGGTAAAATCCTAACTTTGCCACTTACTAGCTATGTGAACTTGGGCAAGTGACCTAATCCTCTGTGCTTCATCTTTCAGTTGGGGAGAATAGAAGCATCTACTTCATGTAGTGGCCTGGATTAGAAGAGGTAATGGTTGTGGTAGCTCACTAGAGAGCCTAGCACATGGTCAGCACTCAGTAAATGTTAGCTATGTCACAGGGCAGAGAGAGGAGGGGTCTATTTTAGCCTGTAGCATGGGGTGTCTATGAAGGAGGAGAGATTGGAGCTGGACTTAAAAGGTGGGTGACATTGGATGGGAGAATGAAGCAGAGGGAACAGAAAGACATAGCAAAGCTCTTTTGAAGTCCCTGAAGGAGTTGGGAATAACAAAGACCTTGGTTTCTACTTAACACCAGCTACTGTAACAGATAAAATGCTAAAAGGTGAATAGCTTAGTGTAATAGATGTTAATTTCTCATTCACATGAAGTTCAATCAGTGGCAGTGGAGGAGGAAGTGGAGGAGGCATTATGGTGAGGCGCAGAGTACCCTTCCTCCATCAGCAGGCTAATGGAGGCTCTGCCATTGTCCATGTGGCTTCCAGGGTCACACTGGGCACTGACATCCAGCCCGCGAGTGGGGACAGAGCATACAGGATGATGCAGGAAGTTTTTATGGGCCAAGGTTAGAAGTGCCACTCATCACTTCCTCCTACATTTCACTGGCTAGAACTTAACATATGGACATCTGCATGGGAGTCTGCAGAATATAGTTTATATGTGTTCCCAAAAGGAAAGTGAAATGGATTTGGTGACTAGCTAGCCAGTCTCCTGCCCCAGGTTCTGGGGCTAAGAGGTGCACCAGCCCAGAGAAGAAGCTGTCCAAAGGTGAGGACTCTGATTCTGAGCAATGAGCTTGACCTTGACTTTAATTAATCCCATCCACCTGGCCAGAGGTGCACCTCTAACTCAGCTGGACTGATCAGGGGGCTTCCTTGGGAATTTTCAAACTGGAATGAAGGGAAGAAAATCCTAGATCTGTCTGATGATGGGAGTTGTTGGACATGAGGCTTGGGAGGTGTAGGTGGTTTCATTTCATGTTGTATGGGGGATGCTACTTCTGCCTTGAATGGAATGATGCTGATATGCAAAAAGATCAAGATGCAGACAGACGCCAGGGGCATTTGAGGCCCTGGCTTCTGCCATTTCTGAGGCCCAGCTGCACCTCAGTCATAGGAGATACTTCAGTATTCTTCTGATTTTAAATTTATTTTTAATTTACTTTTTTTTTTTTGTAGAAACAGGGTCTAACTATGTTGCCCAGGCTGGTCTTGAACTCCTGGGCTCAAGTGATCCTCCTGGCTCGGCCTCCCAATGTGCTGGGATTACAGGTGTGAGCCACTGTGCCTGGCCTCCTTCTCCTTGAAGTCTAGCCAAGTTTCAACTGGTCTTCTGGCATTTGTAACTGTGATGAATACATTATTCACTTAAGAAGTACTCATTGACCACTTACACTCTGCTAGCCTTTGTGTTATAGGCTGCCCAACCGATATATAGTGGGCAAGGCCTTTTTTTCAATGCCTCCAGGCCTGTTCTGCCTGTCTCCTCTTTACTCTTTAGCAAGAACCTGCAGAGTCCACACCATCCCCTGCTTAGCCAGACCAATGGACAAAATCGCAGAATCATAGAACCTGGTCTCTTAAAATTAGTAAGGCAGAGAATAAATAAATCTTAATTCTTATAGACTTTGAGAAAAATGCATGCATGGAAGATACAAAGTATCACTCTCAACTCATGCTATGGGAAATGACCTTTTCATGCTACTCACTGGCCTTGGGCTGGCGTAGGAAACCAAGAATATTTCAAGGGAGTCCTCTTGCTTTTAACCACCACTGAAAATTGGAAATTATTTCAGAACTTATTTAAAAGTACAGATTTGGAGGCTCTGTCCAAACCATCTGAATCATTATCTTCGTGGGCAGGAACTGGGGATCAGTATGTTTAAAAATCTTTAGGAGTGCATCTCATGCAGCCAGCCTATAGGAACACCACAGTGAAGGTCCATATGTTCCTTCCTCTCCTTTTATAAAAACAAGAGAAAGTGGATAAGGAGGGGATGAGTGACGTGGCTCAGAGGGGCAAAAACTAGAGGGGCTTAGCATCATTATCTGTGTGACTTGCAGCAAATTGCTTCCCCTCTCAGAGCCTTGTTTCCTCATCTGAAAATCAGGATCGATGATCACTTTTGCATTATGGGGTTGTTATGAAGAATAATTTATTCCCTTCTCCTGTATTTTTTTTTTTTTTTTGTGACGGAGTTTTGCTCTTGTTACCCAGGCTGGAGTGCAATCCCAGCTACTCGGGAGGCTGAGGCAGGAGAATTGCCTCCTGGGTTCAGGCAATTCTCCTGCCTCAGCCTCCCGAGTAGCTGGGATTACAGGCACGCGCCACCATGCCCAGCTAATTTTTTGTATTTTTAGTAGAGACGGGGTTTCACCATGTTGACCAGGATGGTCTCGATCTTCCCTTCTCCTGTATTTAGGGCCTCTCCCACAGAGAGGAGTGAGGGTTCCATGAGGGCGGGGCTTCAGGCATTTTCCTCGTATCCCCAAAAGGGCTGAAGATGTAGATAGTCCTGTGGATGCTTGTTGACAGGCCATCCCTTCTTCTCCATCTTCACAGTCATTAGGTGAGGCCTAATTCTCTGCCAACTGGTTATGGCCCCAGCCTCTTTGTAGGTCTTGCCAGACCTTCTCAGAGGCTCTGTAAGGGGCAAATTTGGCCCTTCCAAATGGCTTCTTCTAAAAACTCCACGAAGTGGGCACTCTCCAGCTTGGCTGCCCACTTGCCTTGGAGGCCTTTAAAGTTCTGGGCCAGCCTCCAGCTAGCTGGCTGGGACTTCCTCCTGGCTTGATTTCTTCTAGTGTCCCAATCTCAGGCCTCCAAAGGAGCTAATGATGAATAATACAGACTTTGGCCTGGACGTCAACTCCAGAGGTTCTTGATTTCTACTTCGTGATGAGTGAGCTGAGAGGAGGTGTTAATATTTGGAACCCTAGTTGAGTGACCCAAAGGAAGTTTTTAGGGGCCTGAGTTTCCTTGATGCCAAAGGGAAGATGCTGGGACTTGTCTTACAGGATTCTGTGAAGGTTAGAAATAACACAGATTGGGTGCCTGGAAAGAGGAGTTGTTTAACGAATGGTAGCAAACATTGTTTCTTGGGTACACTCCCTTCTTAGGAAGATGGGAGCTCTTAGAGGGCAGGGATTGTGCTTTTGTGTAATATAACTGTACTGAACACTTCCTATGAATTTGGCAGAACTTTCATGGGGTGTTAACAATTACACTTACCTCATAGGGTTGTGTGTGGATTAAATGAGGAACACTGTGCCCATTTTACAGATAAGGCAACTGAGGCTCAATAGGTTAATGCTCTTTCTTTTGCAGTTTTGTTTTTCTTTGTCCCTGCCTAGGGCCTCGCACATACTTGAATGACTGTGAAATTGCAGTACCTAGTATGGTCATGACTTGGCTCTGCTCACAGGGCATTTTGGGAGGGACGCTTCCCTGCCCCTTTCCCTTCCCTGTCCTGGCGTCCCTGGCAAGAAGGGAGGTTGTGAGCCTGTTGCTGGGCTGGCATTAAGGAAGGGCCTCAAAAGTCTCAGAGCCAAGGGAAGGGAAGAGGAAACCCAGCAGAGGCCCTACCCTTGGTGTGGGGGTCAGGGGGGACATTCTAAAGAGCCAAGGAGCAACCTGGGAGAGGTTGAGTCAGATTAAAGTGGACACCTGGAAGGTAGGATGGGGATGGCAGGGGATATGTGCACAAACCCACCTCTCCTCTGATCAGCAGAGTTTTCTGTTAATGGTTTCAGTTGGCAGTGAGGCTCAATGCTCCCTTTGTCTCTTTCTAACAGTGTCTCTACTGTTCTATTTTCTTGGTTCTCTCCAATGATGAAACTATATTTGTTTCATTTTCTAGATGGGATCACTGAGGGCCATGGAGGGAAAAGACCTACCCAAGGGCACATAATCTGTGCATCAGGGAGAGCCGGGTATAACAGACTGAGTGCTGGACTTGGTGTTAAACAGACTGTGAATCCTTCCACCCCACTGCCAAGTTACCTTAGACAAGTTACTTTAATCTCCCTGAGCCTTAATCTGCTCATCTTTAAGACGGGGGTCTTAATAATCTCCTCACAGAGTCAACACGAGGATTAAACAAGAACATAAGTGCACCTTGTCTAACACAGTGTCTGAGATGAGTAGATGTTCAAAATAGGGGAACATTTGTTTCTTTGCTCTTTGGCTCCCACCTTTTTTCAACTGCCCCAAATCCCTTTCTGTCACCTTTTCTTGTTCTGTGGGGTCTTTACACCACCGTGTTAGTGTGTATTTCTGCCACATGGTTCTTTCCCTTTTAGAAGCAAGTGAGTAAAGGAAGAGCCCAGTGGGCAGCTCAGAACCTCGATAATGAAACCACATAGAATCCATCTCAAATGAAACAGCAAACTGACAAGTGACCTGCATGTAGTTTTTTATTTCATTTACAGTATACAAGGACTGTAGGAGGAGAGTGGGAGGGTGAGTCAGGAGATGGGGATTTAAGTCCATGGAGTGGCTATGTGATTCTGGGCTGGCCTGTTTTCCTCTCTGGGCCTCAGTTTCCCCATGTGACAATAAGGGGTCAGGCCAGGAAATACTCTGACACTCTGAATTTTTAATTTTATTCTAATTATATGTTTCAGGGAGGAATAACTGGGCTCTGGATAGGAAGTGATGAATGGATATTCTTAATGAGAAGTGGAAATAATTTGTGGTTGAGAGCTGTGCCTCAGATCAGAGTGACAGGATACATGGCTAGGCTATATTTTCCAGCAGATTAAGTTAAGAGCTGTAGCCCAAGACTCTGAAATATGAAGGAAAAAGGAGAAGATGACAGGATATCTTTTTAAAGAAATATTTTCCAGCCAAATGCTGCAGCAGAGGACTTCCAGGAATTTGTTCTTGTTCTCTATCAAAGGTGAAGAGTTCACAGCCTTCAAGGAAACAAGAAATCATGAGATGGAGTGAAGGAAGGTGGCCTGGAACCAGCTGCTGAGCCTCTCTGAGCCCCAGTTTCCTCATCTCTAAAATGGGCCTGATCTCCTCTCCCTCAGACGGTTGTTGCAGAAATTAAATGAGGTATTGAGTGGGAAAGCATCAGTCATGTAGCAAATGTTCCCTAAGTAGAAGGATCTGAGTTCTGGTTCTGGTCCTGCTGGGGTATGGCTGGTTGAAAGGTGAAGGAGACAATTGAAGGGATTGCCAGCTTCATTACTGGGAGCTGAGATTCCATTTTAGACCAAGAGTGTGACCAAGGTGGTAACCTTAACATTTCATTTCTTCATATTTATTTATTGAGCCAATATATATGTATTTTTTTTGGCAAAGCTAGCTGAGGTTTTATTTTGGATAAAACAACAACAACAACAACAACAACAACAACCAAAAAAAGCAACTGAATTGTTTTGTAGCGAGACATGAGCAAGTGGGGGTCCCCAGGCAGTAAACTTCCCCGGGTGGGCTGAGGGCTAGAGCTGAGCCTCAGGTGGGTCTCCTGTTCCCTGTGTTCCCCTGCACAGTGGCCTCCCTCCCTGCTCTGGGGCAGCTGCAGGAGGGGCAGGCTGGGAGGGGCTGCCACAGCTGTTCACTTGGGCAGGATGTCAGAGGACTCGAACACCAGCTTCCCATCTCGAGTCTCGATCTCTTTCACAACCATGGCTGTGGTGGAGCTGGTGCGGCTGAAGGAGCTGGAGCCCATGCCAGAACCAAAGCTGGAGCCCATGCCAGAGCCAAAGCTGGAGCCCAGGCCATAGCCAAGGCTGGGGCTTGTGAGGCCTCCATAGACCGAGCTCAGTTTACCTGCATAGTTGCTGGTAGTTTTCGTATGGATATTCATGTTCTGCATCCCAGACTCCAGCCAGCTTTCCTCCTCCTCCAGCAGCTTCCTGTAGGTGGCGATCTCAATGTCCAGGGCCAGTTTGACGTTCCTCAGCTCCTGGTACTCACACAGCTGCTGCGCCATGTCGTGCTTGGCCTGTTGCAGGGCGGCCTCCAGCTCAGATAGCTTGGCGACAGCATCCTTAATGGCCAGCTTCCCACACTGCTCAGCGTCTGTGATGGTGGCCTCCAGGGAAGCCCTCTGTCCTGTGAGTCCCTCAATCTCAGCCTGTAGCGGGCTAATATTCTGGTTCATCTCGGAGATCTCAGTCTTTGCATGCTGCAGGTCATCCCCGTGCTTCCTAGCCTGCGTCTGCAGCTCCTCATACTTGATGTGGTACATATTCTCCGCCTCGGGCCGGCTGTGATTGGCGATCTCCTTGTACAGCAATGATGCTGTCCATGTCCAGCACCACAGACACATCTGAGACCTGGGACTGCAGCTCCTGGGTCTCCTCTTCATGCAGCTGCCTGAGGAAGTTGATCTTGTCAGTCAGCCCTTCCAGGTGAGACTCCAGCTCCACCTTGTTCATGTAAGCTTCAGCCACATCCTTCTTGATGAGGACAAATTTATTCTCCATCTCTGTACGCTTAGTGATCTCATTCTCATACTTTTTCTCCAGCCCCTGCATGTTGCCAAGCTCAGCCTCCAGCTTCAGCTTCTCTTGGCCCAGTCTCCAGCTGCTGCCGAAGGTTGTTGATGTAGCTCTTGAACCTGTTGTCCATGTTGCTCTGAGCTGCCTTCTGCTGCTGCAGGAGACTTCACTTGGTCTCCAGCATCTTGTTCTGCTGCCCCAGGAACCATACCTTGTCTATGAAGGAGGCAAACTTGTTGTTGAGGGTCTTGATCTACTCCTTCTCCTGGGTGTGCATGGCCTGGATATTGCGGTCCACCTCCAGGTTAAGGGGGCTTACTAGGCTCTGGTTGACTGTGATGGTGGTGATACCTCCCATGCCACTGGCCCCACCATAGCCTCCGCCCAGGCCACCCTGAAGCTGCTGTTGCTACTCACTCAGGAGAAGCTTGAGGAGCTGATGCGGGTATCAGGCCCACTCATGTAGGAGCGGCTACTGAAGGTCTGGGGTCCAGAGGTGGACACCTTGTAGGACTTCTGGGTCACCTCGATGGACATGGTGGAGGCAGGAGGGGAGGCAGGTGGGCTGAACCAGGTGGAGATTCCAGAAGGAGCAGATAAGCTGCTTCTTGGTCAAGCCAATATTTTTCAAGCATCTATCATGTACCTAGCATTTTGTTTGTGCTGGGGTGGAAAACAGCCCCCTCATCCCCCAATGTAGAAAGTACTTTCACATCCATAGGCCGCTCTCTACCCCAGTCCAGCCCACCAAGCCACTGCATGAGTAGGGAATGGGACACAACATCCCTAACCTTCCTGACCCCATCCAGACAAGCACATCCCATCCATTCTGTCTCCTGATGTCATTCGCACTGCCCCTTCTCCTGCAGCACCCCATGTTGGGCTTTCCAGTCACCTTCCTCCCTGCCTTTCCAATCCAGGTACCACATAGCAGGCAGAGTGGCCCTTCTAAAGCACAAACCATGTCACTCTCTTCTTCAAAACTCTTCAGTGGCTCCTTTCTGCCCTCAGAAAGGACACAGCCCTTTGCATGGCTTAGCAGGACCCCCACAACCTGGCCCTGCCATTCAGGCTCATCATGCATAGCTTCTTTCCTGGCAATGCAGTTCAGCTCTTTCAAGCATTTGTGGCTTTGCTGATGGAAAACCACCCAGCAAAGAATTCACCCTTCCTGCCAGCATCTAGTCGGTTTTGAGCATCACCTTCTCTGTGAGAATATTCCTAATTTGCCCCCAGCCATGCTAACTCCTGTTCTCAGTTATAGAAAGAGTCTTGGAGAAAAGAAATGACCATCCAAGATCACATGTGAAATGTGACACAGGCCCTTTGTATCAGCCTGTGCAGGGTGCCATAACAGAATACCACAGGCTTAAACTGCAGAACTTATTTTTCTCACAGTTCAGGAGGCTGCAAGTCCAAAATGGAGATGGCATCAGGGTTGGTTTCTGGTGAGGCCTCTCTTCCTGATTTGTAGATGGGCACCTTCTGGTTGTGTCCCCATAGGGCCTTTTCTCTGTGGGTGCACACTCCTGGCATCTCTTCCTCTTCTTATAAGGATACTAGTCCTATTGGATTAGGGCAGTATCCTCATGACCTCATTTAACCTTAATTAGCTCCTTAAAGGTCCTATTTCTAAATAAAGTCACATTGGGGGTTACAGCTTCAACAAATGAATTCTAGGGGGACACGATTAAGTCCATAACACCCTTCTTGCTGGATATCTGAGGCCAGAACACAGAAAATGGTTCCCGGGCAAGAGCAGCTCCTGTGTGTCTTATGGAGCTAATGGGGCACGGATGCAAGGAGGAGCTTGGTGATTAGAGGAGGAAAGGTAGAAGACTGGGACAGGCAGGGATGAGAAGGGGAGGGTCCCCGTGGCCTGGAGAGAAGGTAAGAGCAGCCTGTGAAGGGGTGTGAGGCCTGGACTGAGAGTGAACAAGCAGGTTGGGCTATGGAGTGGGGGTAAAGGGGAGGCTGGTGAGTGCAGCCCACCTTGATGTTGAGAGCAGGTAGAGAGCATATCGCCTTATCTGCAGAGCAGGTGATCACTAAAGGCTGCCATTACTGCATGAGCTCAGCACCTCTCATCTAGTCCTCACATCACTCTTAATTGTAGGGATACACACCTCTATTTTTGGGAAGAGGTAAATCCAGTTCCATAATTGCCTGGCAAGTAGCAGAACCAGGACCTCATCACAGGGGTCCTGATCCCCAGGCTGGAGCCTATTTTCATCTCAGAGTCAGGGTTAGGGTAAGGCAAGTGAGGCACCAAGGAGGCACTTGCACAATGTGGAGGGTGGGGGCCTCCTTAAATTTTGCGCCCTAGGCACCTTGCTCATCTTACCTGAGTCCTGACCCTGACTGACCTCCTCCTCTGTGGCTCTATTCTCTCTAATCTTCTGTGCAGCAGAGGCAATAGGCACAAGTAGCTGTAGCTAGACTTGGCTTTGCTCCTAACCAAGTGGGAGGCATTAATTTAATGGCCCTACAGGTGAAGTCAATTCAGTTAAAGTTATCACCCTTTGCTTTTCCTGCCCACCTTCAGAGCTAGCCATGCAGTTATCTGCTCTCACTCATCACATTGGTTCATGTGGCTCGTAGGTCCACTTTCAGCCACTAGCACTTTTTACCATCTAGCACCTCGGTTTCTCCATCTTCCAAATGCGGACGATAATGATGATTATGATAGGGATTGTGGTGGTGATAATTCATATATCATGGGGCTATATGAGAATAGATGTGTACAGCACGTATTATAAAAGTGTTAGCAATTATGAATTTCAATTTTGCTTCACTCCTGCTCAGCATTCAAAGAATTTTCACACCAGGTTCTCATTGTGACCTGGAAGGTGGGAGGGCAAAATTTATTGTACCCCCTTTACAGAGGAGGCGAGGAGACTCAGAGAGAAGCCTGGGGACTTGCTCAAGTCACACAACCAAGAGATGGGAGAGCAAGATCTGGCACAGAACTGAGGCAGGGCGTGTGGAAAGCCGGGGGAGACCCCTCTCTCCTCACTCTGTCCCATGGCCTAGGCAGCTGTTGTCAGAGGCCAGGAGGAGCTCAGGACTCATAGCTTGAAACTTGAGTTTAAGACCTAGCAGGAGTGAGGCAAAATTGAATTAATAATCACTAGCACTTTTATAATACTTACTGTATGCCTCTATTCTCATACAACCCTATGACATATGAATTATCACCACCATCATCACTATCATAATAATCATTGTTATCCACACTTGGAGGATGAAGAAACCGAGGTGCTAGAGGGTAAGTAGCTTGCCTAAGGCCACACAGCTAATAAACAGTAAACTGGGTTCAAATACCTACAGTCCAGCTGTAGATCTGTGCTCTTAATCACAGTGCTATTTTTTCCCTCTGGGTCTTTTTCTACTTATTTGTAAATGTTAATTCAGAATGTTAGGTTTCTTACTAAGGGCCTGGCAATTTACATAGTTTTTTTTCATTTGATCATCCTGAGTTGACGGAAATTATTTACCCATTTTGCAGATAAAAAAATTGATGATTAAAAGGGGGCATAGAACTAGTAAAGAGAGACTCAGAGTTCAAGCCTAGCTCTGTCTGGTTCTAAAATAATAACAATAGTA